TGAGCCCTTAACCAGACCCTGAAGAAAGCATAATGCCAATACACAAAAGAAATCCAGGATAATTGCTTACTGAATATGTCCCATTAAAACAGGAATATTCTGTCTCCTCTCTTTCAGTCTATTGCTCTTTCTTCCTGTCAGTATCTTTCTGTCTCTGCCTTTCTCTCAATGTCTTTCTCCTTTTCTTTTTCCTCCTCCTTGTTCCCCTCTCGACTATATTCAACTCAGTTGAGAAAACATACATTCAGAGCTCAGGGACATTTAATCTGCAATATTCCTTACACTGGTGAGATGAACTATTATCCTCAGAATATAGGATATACATGCTATAAGGTAACAGATATTTTAAACTTAACAATTTTCTAGGATGAGTTTAGATAGTAATAATAATAGCTAGTATTTATGGAACTTTTTAAGGTTTAAAAATACTTTACATATATATTATCTCATTTAATCCTCGCAGCAACTCCATGAGGTAGGCACTATTCTTATCTTCATTTGACAGATGAAGAAACGGAAGCTGACATGTTAAATCACCCAGCTAGTAAGCATCTAAAGCAACTTTTGAACTCAGGTCTTCTTGACCTAAAGTTCAACACTCTCTTCACTGCACTACCTAGCTGCTCAAATAAAGGCACCATTTATTGTAATGCAAATAGAGTGATCAAAATAGAATTCCAATGGTCTAAAAGAGTTCATGTACATTCGTAAACAGAAAACAAATTAATATATTTTATCCTAAACCATAGAATATAAGCTAGGATCTCAAAGATTTAAGTTCAACCCCCTAAACTGATGAAAAAGAAAGGAAGAGAGAAGTTAACTCATCTTGGCTATTTTAACTAAGATTCTAATGTAAAATAGAAGTTCCAGTTCAACATTTCTTTTATTCTGGACCCAAGTTTAAAATGACACTTAATTATCCTGTAAAGAAACTATATAATATAGACGAAAAACTAGCCATCCCTGTCATGATTTTATTCCATGATTGTTTGCTCATCAAAGGAAAGACTTTCTGTTCTGAGTGACATGTAATAAACGACACAAATATTGATTCATCCACCAAACAATTACTCACCCAGCCCCAAATTGCGATTCGTTTTTCATCCACAAAGCCCATTTTTGAAAATTGTCTAAAACAAGAAAAGTTCATTGGAATGAGCTCAGTACCATGCCCAGAAATGTAACCCAACTTTAAATAACACTTTTATTTTTCTTTATCTACCTGTGATTTTTTTTAAATGAGGGTGGAAAGAAAATGAGAATCTAATGTCTATCCAAAAAGTCATGGGAATCAAATAATGACCTGAGATTAACTTCCTCTTTTTAACTTTTTAAGAAGCCAAAATCAAACGTTTTACCTTTTGTTGGATTCCATGGAATGTTCTTAGCTTAATTTGTATGTGTGCGGGTGTGTGTGTGTATGATTCACAGAAAACAAATCCTGGCAGTTTTTTTCACAGCTTTATATAAAAATTTGCAGCCCAGATGCACTTTTCTTTACATAATTGAATTTAAATCTATCCAGATGTTTGTGAGTTCAAGAATGGCTGCCCCTGCAATGCAGCAATCCAAGGGCCAGAGAGAACATCTGGGGATCTAGTCAGTGGGAAAGCTTTAAAAAAATGTATCATTGGGCTTCCTACCTAAGACCTAAACACCATTCACTTAAATAGCTTTCCCAGGTGCTGGGTATTGATTAGCTCAGCACCATCCAAAAAAAGGCAGTTGTGGACATCATGTTTTACAAAATCTCTTTGCCTGACAAAATGGATCTGGGCAAGAATGTGAGAGGATCTTAGGATCTGAGCGTTATAATGATGAGCTCTTCCAAGGGAGATTCTTGAGATGGTTTTGACTTTATTTTGCTCTTTAAATCTTAAAATATTTCTATTACTTTAAAAAAGATCACTTGATTACATCTGTGCCTTATGGGGAGAAAAAACAACAACTAATGAATGACTCCAAAAGAATAAGACATACATTTTTGGAAATGTGAGAATTTGTTTTGCTTCTTTTGACTGTTATGGTTGTCTTTTTCTTTTCTTTTTTTCTAATGTGAAAGACATGAAGGGGGCAGGGAGAAAATAAATAAGCATTAATTGAAATAAAAGTTTAAAAAATAATGATGCAATCTGGTGACAACTTTGGAGTTTTTATTTTTTCAACTGATGATATTTTAAAAACAAATTCTTACTGTTATTTTTTGCTTTTATACCACTTATATTTCACAAAGCATTTCTCCCTTCTTCTATAATATATATTTCTAAGGCTTGGGTAAATGGAATTTGACAAAGTTTAAGAGACCAGTAGTTTTTATACCATTCACTTTTTGTTCATGTTTTTTCTGTATGGTATAATACATAATAGATATTTAAGTATCTAAATATATTGTCCACATACAGGGTAAGTTCTTAGTGAATAGTAAGAATAACTCATTACTATCTTTTTTATGAGATTTTCTTAATATTTTCAATCAATAAATAAACATTTATTTAGTGCTTACTACATACCAGGCACTGTGCTAAATGTTGGGGATACAAAGAAAGGCAAAGAAAGGCCCTCAAGGAGCTCCCAGTCTAATGTGGAAGACAACCTACAAACCATTATGCATAAACAAACTGTATACTGAATGCATTAGAGATAATCACCTAGGGGAAGGCACTAGCATTAAGTGGGATTGGGAAAGGCTTCCTATACAAGGTAGGATTTTAGCTAGGCCTTGAAGGAAAATTCCAAAGCCATTATTAAATTGTTTTCTATGTGTACTGTATAAAAACCCCTTTGACTTCAGTTAATGATACATAATTATGCTGTAAAGAAATTGCATAACATACAGAACAACTGGCCATCCCTCATTTGATCTTATCTCATGACTATTTCCTGGTCAAAGGGAAGACATCCTGCTCTGAGTTGTTTTCCTTAAGCTTCCCAGTTTCTCCTGCCTTTCCTTCTAGGTATTGTTTCCCAACACTTTAATCATCTTCTCGGAACTGGTGCCATTTTTGCAACATCTAACTTTATTGTATAGCCAAGATTTAGTTATTTCTAGTTAAAAGGCATTCACAAAGTATGAAGCGGGCCCACACACTCTGGGGAACCATTACCACTGATCCTTCCCCTAAGGAGAAGCTGAGTGGGGAAGGGAAAGAACCAACAATTATCTATCCCCAGGAAAATGCTTACGATTCTAGTGTAATGGCTGACCGCTACTGAGTAAAATAAATAGATTAACTAATTTATAGTTCCTACATCTACCTTCTTATTAATCCCAATATCCCAAATGTATAAGGGGAACAGTCTTGGGTTAGGAATCAAAATATCTAAGCTAAATTTCTGGCTTTGCCACTTATTAGCCATGTTATATTGTCCAAATAATATGTCCTTCCGAACCTCAGTTTCCCCATATATAAAATGGAGATAATAATAATTTTACTGCCTTTCTCCCAGGATTGTTACAAACTATCAGCTACTGGGATAAATAAACTAATTGAGTGAATTATTATTCCCTCAGTATTGTCTTGTTTGGATTCTAAGCTCACACAGTATATACAGAGAGGAAATTTACATGCTTTTGGAAGGTGATAGGTATATGTTAGTTTTAAAACTATGTTCATTTAAACATTCTATTTGCAGCAATGACATGTCAATGATCAATGATTACATATTTATACTACGGATATTTAAATTCTTTATGCTTTATATATACATGTATGGATTTTCTAAAATAATAAGGCCTTTTAAATGTTCCAGATACTCACCTGGCTGCCTCAATTTGATCTTCAACTTCCAATGTTCCTAATCTTCGATTAATTGCATGCATGATATTATCACCTTGATAGCCACTTCCTCTGCCATCAAAGCTGGCCACTATAATCTTCTCTGTGCTGGCCAGGTAAGTAGACCAGCTAAGTCTGAAGGCAGTGTCAACTTTTTGACTACAGGGTCCTGCGTATCTGTGGAAGATTCCAAAATATTAGCCTCTGCAATTGTGCATCTAATAAGGTATTCTTGACATTATCTTCCCTATGGAAAAGAAATGTGGGCTTTTTTGACCATGTAACTGAATTCCTATATATCACTAATAAGTCCAGGTTGGACCCAAGGTATCTTGGCAAACTGACCATAATGGTTGCATCTTTACCACAAAGATGTTTATCAGTTTTACTTCTGAAAGATTCCAGTGCTGGCAAACACAAATTCCATAAGCCAACATTTTACATTAAAAAGATTTAACCAAAGGCTACAAAAGGAGGGAGAGGGAATGGACCTAACATTTCAATGATAACAAGGATATCTTAGATAAAGATATTCCCTCCACCAATGTAGTTCAGCATTTTCTAGGCAGTTTTTAGTCTTAAATTAAGAGTTCCATTGAGCACCAAGGGGTTAAGTGACTGATTTGCCCAAGGTCACACAGCCAGAATGTGTCAGAGACGAGGCTTGAACCTAGGTTTTCCTGTCTCCAAACCCAGCATTCTCTCCACTATGCAACCCTACCTCTGCATATGAGTGGAGAGTTACGTTCAATAGGAATGTTGAAGAATAATGAGACTCTTTAGAAAATCAGCAGAATACAGTGATAAAGTTGGTTGGAAAAATTGAGATGTTGGAATTGAGTTTATTTAACACCCCTAAATTCTCCTGTATCTCATCCTTTCCTATTTCCATCTAGCCTACACATAAACTGTTAGAATTCTCTTCCCCAAGTAATGTGTCTTTAATAATCCTTCCTGTTCATTAACATAGGATGGATCTTGCTGCTTAAACAGCCAGTCCACATATTCCTTAGCAGTGCCCCTCTGCTTGAACCCGGCTTCCAGTCTATCTCCATTCTACCTCCTTCAGCACTGTCCCCACCTTTTCCTTAATAAGAAGAGCTGACATCTGGACAGCAGGTTAAAGATCTCAAGATGAGATAAGTGAGATAGGTATTACAGATATTGTTATCCAAATCTTTCAAGGAGGAAACTGAAACTCTGAGAGATTAAGTGACTTGCCTACAGTCACATCTTCCCAGCTCCAAGGCCAGCAATCTAGTGCCCACTGCCATGCCATGCTGTCACCCATGACTTTGTCTTAGTCCCTCTTTCATACTTGAAACAAAAATATGAAAGAGAGAATAAGACAACTCTTTACTTGGAATACACAACTTCTGGAAAACAAAAAGAAAACCACTAATAAAGTAAAAAGAAATTTTAAATAGCTTGCCCTAAATATTAGACAACTCCTTTTCTGTGACTTGATTGATATCATTTTTCAGAATCAGTCAATAACAGATTTTTCCCCCCTACAACTGTCATTTTTGTGTTAAGAGAGAGTATGAATGATAGATAGAGCTTATCATGTACTAGAAACTGAAGGTTTTTTCTGGGATTATTTGTAAATATCCTTTGCTAAACTCTCATTCTGATAGCTAGGTGGCACAATGGTTGGAATGCAGGCCCTGAAATCAGGAAGACCCAAGTTCAAAAGTGACCTCAGATACTTTCTAGCTGTGTGACCCTGGGCAAGTCATTTAACCCTCTTTGCATCAGTTTCCTCATCTGTAAAATGAGCTGGAGAAGACGGCAAATCACTTCAGTATTTTGCCAAGAAAACCCCAAATGGGCTCATGAAGAGTCGGACACACTGAATGACTAAACAACAACAACGTTTTATCCTAATGCCTAACAGTGGCATGTACTAGCTGGTTTCGAAACGACCATCGTGTCTACCAGCACACAAGTTTTGAAGTATGAGCCTGAAGACGGCCATCTATCATTCAGAAACTAGCCCAGCTAAATTCAGATTAGGTTCATAGCAGACGGACATCTTCCAGGTAATAACATTTTTGGCCACGGGAACTGGGAAGACAATTTGATAGTGAATCAACAAATAAATATTTATTAAGCACTACTACGTGCCAGGCATTATACTAAGCTCCGGATAAGGGACAAAGTGCTATAAGCTAAGTTGACAGATGGAGTGCCCGTACCAAACACATGATCCTTAAAATACTGATGAAAAGATGCTGACCAATTCATTTCTGAGACTCAGTAACTTGAGCGAAAAAATCGCCATTCTTCAGGCCTCAGAGCTCACTATGAGAGCTTACCACCAGTGCAACTGTAAGAGTCAGAATTGGCCTACTTGTCTTAAGTTCTAAAAGAAACATAATAGTTGTGGTGAAAAATCAGCTTTAGATTTTCTGAGTATCATTTGGAAGATGGGTGGAGTGCAGTGAAGACTGATGAACTTTCAAATACGGGACCTGAATTAAAAATCTCCATTCTTTCATTTTCTGTCTGGGGGACAATCAATCAATCAACAAGTATTAATTAAACTACTGTGCATCAGGCACTGTGCTGGATGCTCAGGATTCAAGTAATGAGAATGAAACAATCTCTATGTACAAGGTGCTTAAAATCTATTGTGAAAGTCAACAGGTACCTATATAAATATATGCAGCACAGATATAAAGCAAATAAAAAATGTACATGAAGTAGTTAAATACAAGGTAGTTTGGGAGGAGGACGCTAACATTTGAGAGGAGGACACTAACACTTGGGGGTTCAGAAAAACCTACATGCAGAATACAGTGCCTTATTTTTACACAAACAAATCCAACACTGCAAAAAAGGAAGCTTATCTGAGGGGAAGTTTTTGGAGCAAGTTTTTCTGATAAAAGTTTCATTTCTAAGATACCTAAAGAACTAATTCAAAGTTATATATGAGGAGGACCATTAACCAGCTAATAAATGGTCAAATGATATGAACAGGGAATTCTCAAAGGAAGAAATTAAAGCTACCTATGATTCCAAACACTAGCACTTAAATGCAAACTAAAGCAATTCTGAGGTTCTACTTCATAACCATTGGCAGACTGGCAAAGTGGACAATAAAGGAAAATTATAAATGTTGAAGAGGTTGAAGAAAACAGGCATACTAATGCATGGTTGTGGCAGTTATTAATTGGTCTAGTCACTCTGGAAAGCAATTGGGAAATATGCCCCCAAAGTTACTAGCTATGCATGCCCTTTGATCCAGTGATCCACAGATACCATCACTAGGCCTACCCTCCAAAGAAATCAAAGAAAGAAGTTCCTATAGGTATGTAAATATTTATAGCAGCATTTTTTTTTTGTAGTGGCAAAGAACTAAAAACTAAGCCCAACATGGAGGATAGTAGAACAAATTAGTCTATGAATATACAGACTATTACTGCACTATAATAAAGGATAAAGGGGGTAGTCTGAGAGAAAGCTGGGAAGACTTGTATGAAACAATACAGACTGAAGTGAGCAGAAAGTGATGAACTATGTGTAAAAGAAAACAGACGATTTTTAGACAAGACATGACTAATACAGGAATTTATTTCATTTGATTATGCTTAATTATTAAAAGGGTCTTGTTTTTGCCTTTTTTTTTCCCCGGGGGGGGAGGATGGTGGGAGAGAGAAAAAATAAATGCTTGATAACCGAAAAAATATTTAATTTTTTTAAAATGGTGCTTTTATTACATCTTAAAGAGAGTGACCCTTGAGGCAGAGGAAAAGAAGGTGTATGTTCCAAGGATGGAAGATGACCTACGCAAAGATATGGAGATGGATCTGCCATATGTGAGATAAAGAGAAAGGATTAATTTGAATCACAGAGTGCAAAAGGGGGAGTAATATTCAATCACCACAAAGGTAAGTTAGGACCAGGTTGTATATAGTGTTTTAAAAAATAAACAGTGGCATTTGTACTTTATTCTAGAGGCAATGGGAAGCAACTACAGTTGACTGATTTAGGGGAGTCACAAGGTCATATCTCCACTTAAGGAAAATTACTTAGCAACAGTGTGTAGGCCACACAAGAGTGGTGAGAGACCTGGAGCAGAGAGACCAGTTAGGAGAGTGTTGCAGTAACTTATTGAAAGGTGTTGAGGGTGATAGCTGTGAGAGTGGAGACTGGAGAAATATTGCAAAACAGCAAAAGTTGGTGACTTGATAGGTGGTTTGAGGGGATATGTCACTTAATCTCCCTGGGCCTCAGTTTCCTCACTTATAAAATGAGGTATTTAGATTAGATGATCCTTAAGATTCCTTCTAGCTCTAGAGTTACGACACTAATTTCATTCTTAATTAATCACTTATCTATGTGTTTTTATAATTAGTATATATAGTTATTATATAGTATAAATATTGTTATTATAACATATCGGTATATATAGTTATTTATAATTAGTATATATTATTAGTGTACGTGTGTGTGTGTGTGTGTGTGTGTATATATATATATAAAATTAGCATATATTAGTATATATTCGGCACCCATGATTCACATGCTCTATTGGAACACAAATGTGAAAAGCAATCACGGTTTTTGTGGGCAATTCTGATGTTCATTTACAAGGAAGGGCACTGTAACTATATTCTGAAGATCTGGGTTTCTATCCTGGCCCCTGTTAACTACTAGCGTAACTAGCTCTATGACCTTAGATTTCCTTATTTTGAACTGATGAACTTTAAGTTCTCTTCCAACCAGAGATGTGCTTGGGCCAGTTCAGACCATCCTGTGAGCTAAATAGCAAATTTTCAATGTGAACATTTGCAAATGTTACAAATCAGAGTTTGACATACTGTTTTGTTCACTGTCTAGACTTAATAAAATGATGGAGAAAATGTTAATAATTAAGATTAAACTTAAAAGTGTGTCGTGTGTATAGTTGTTTTTTTTTTCTAGAGAGCTGGTTATTAAACATTTGCCAGCACACCACTTCTTCTACCTTTAAATTTATGAGAAAAATATTAACAGTAATAAGAATTTAGCATGGGGAAGGAGTAGAAAGAATAAATATGGATAGGAGTAACCTAAATATTAAAATAATAATTGCATATAATTATCACTATGGTTTTAAAAAAGTACTTATAAAGCTGAATTATTTAGAAAAGATTATGCTGCTGATTTATCCATACTGTGACCTATCTCAATATTCATATTTCTTAGGCAAACGCTTTATGATTTCTCTAAATTATACATAGTATTTTCATACCTCATCTTATCTCCTTCATTAAAAAAGGGGAAAAATAAATCATAAACTTCTTCATAAATTAAGAGAGCAGAACTTCGAGGGAAAGAAGAATCCAAAGGTAATCACTAAGAGATGTTCCAGTGAGACAGAAGAAAGGGATGGTGAAGAATGTCAGTCCTAAACCATAGCTATTGTTCCTTAAAATTCTCTTTTAAAATTAGAAGTACAGGAAAACTGAAGATTACATTGCTAGCACCCTCAGAATGAGGTAAAGAATGGTAGTGGTACAGATGCAGAACATGTCTGCTTCCTCTCTGATGAAGATACAAAGTCAGATTCCTTAAGGGAAGGTGTATAAGAGAAGAGGCCTAGATTAGTGCTTCTAAAGAATGATACTATGGATAGCAGGAAAGTCTTCCCACTGTGATTCCAAAATAGATGGAGAAAAATCATGAAATTGCTACCAAATGCTTCTGAAAACACAGGAGAAAATGTTATTGGATCCATCAGAAGACTATTCCAGGAAAAAATCATTTAAGTAATGCATGGCTATTAACACCCAAGTATATTTTAATCCTTTTGATTCATACTTACACCTCTATTAGAAGAGGGTATTTCTTGGATTTATCAAAATGAGGAGGCAAAATCATCTGGTACCAAAATTCTAAATGAAAAAAGAAAGTGAATGAGTTATGAAAGGCTATCAAAAAACACCAGTATATGATATCTTTATATACAAGTATATATGCATGCATATCATAAGCCACAACCAAGGCCTGAAAGAAGACAAGCTACAAGAGAATAGAGCCAGAAACCAATTGGGTTTGGTTCTAGTATTTTTCAAAAAGATCTAAAATACTCTGTAAAATCAGTTTGAAAATATTTAACTAATAAAGTTGTTTTAATTGTATCAATAGAACATATAGTGCCTGACAACATTAAAGTGTCTGTCAGAACTTCTAAGGCATATATATTACTTCATTCACTGGTATCCAAGCTATCTATTTTGTTTATGACTTATGTTCTGAATTTTTCCTCCAAAATGTTTTCTTTTCCCTTGAAATTTCCTGAAGCTATTTCAGATATTCAGTTGGCCACAACTTGATTTTAAAATTCTGATTTGATAACATTTTTGTAATCATGTTGTCATCCTAGAATTATAGAACTAAGTGAAGAGCAGAGACCTAGAGAAAGAGTAATCTATTATTTACTCGCTGTATCATCTTGGCTTTGAACTCTTAATTTATTTATAGACACATTTTTAGTAACACTTGCCCCTAAATAAATTAATTTCCTTTGCTCTGAAATTCAAAATGGAAATTTAGACTGGGGTGTTTTTAAAGTACGTACGGAAAAGATAAAATGGATCTGGTGAGGTACAAGAATTTCTAACTAAAATAGTTTTTAACTCATTTTCTTTATCTCTTCTACTTCTTGTTTTACTTTTCTGGTAGTTATTTCAGTATGAAAGAGGAAGGACTGGTTTCTTTATGTACGAAGATAGACTTTCTCTGCTTTATACCTTACAGTGTGCTGGCACAAAAAGCTAAATTCTATTTTTTGTGTCTGAACTAAATGTGATGCTGAAGCGAATACCAAAAATTCAAATTTCCATCATGTATATTTACCACTGGACCATCATATGGAGAACCATTCAATTAAAATGGCTGATTATGGAGGTTTGTTAGTGATTCATACCATTTGCCCTTTGATCTTCTCCAATTGATGCCAGGTGACTAAACTGAAACACTTCAGTTTTGAAAGCATGTCATCCTTCCTAGTTTCCCACCTCATCTGAGGTGGGAGAGGAAAGGGGGGTGGGGAGTGTCAATTATTCCATGAGTAGATTTTTAATATAGAGATTTTCTAACATCTCTTCCTGTACCTCAGCTTGTTTTGAGAATAAGTTTCTTGAAAGGCCTTTATTGAAACTGTAATACTAACTTCCCAGGATACTTTAAAATGAATCCACCAAAAAGGGAAAAAAAAAATCAGGCAGCTGAAAAGGAAAACCTTAACATATCTTCTATTTATTAGGATTTTGATACCTTGCTTACTTCCAAAAACTGTATTAGAGGTGGCATATAAAATTAAATATATGAAATGGAGCAATTAAAAATAAAAACAGAACAAAATCATTCAAAAAGAGAAACTGATGTTACTGGACATCTGAGATGAACTAATTACTGTAGTCATTAATAGCTTAGAAGGATGGTGTCGTTAGTTAGTCATAAGTTGCTGGGGATTTTTTTACCATTCTTTTTTTGTTTGGGAATAAGGAATGAAGACCACCAAAGATTTACTGATGGCTAAGGCCACTGACATGAGAATCTGAATGGATGCTAAGATCACAGCCTAGAGAGCTATGAATGAAGTGGGACTATATGCCATGAAAATACATGTTTCTTTAATATGATCCAATTGTTTCATGACATAGTTGGGGAGAAAATGGTTGATTATTGTGGACCCTAGAGACCATAAGGACCTCCATCAAAGAAGAGAACTTGATCTTATCTGAGATTATACTGGTTAATGCTGTTAGAGCCCAAAGAAAAATTTCCACCAGGATGGCTGCATTTAAAATTGGGCTTTTAAAGTGTTCAAGATGAAACCAGTTTAAGTACAACTGTAAATCAGCTAACCAATATTTAAAAGAACAGGATATAATAGGTGATGATACTTTGAAGTTCACAACTCAAGTAAACAGCACATCTTCTTAAAGAGTCCTAAGATATTGGAAATCTCTGCATATAGCCTGTGGATGGCCAAGGTACTGATGCAACAGGGCTCAGACCAGTCTTTTATGTTCAATACACAAAATGAGTTTTAGAAAAAGATTCAGAAATTCACTCTGCCTCTTCAAAGGAATGAGAAAGCATTTATTATGCACTTCATATCTTCTAGGCATAATGCAAAGGCTGAGGTCTAAGACTGAAGTTTCCCAATGAATAATGATAGACGATGGTTGTTGTTCAGTCATGTTTTGACTCTTCGTGACCTCATTTGGTGTTTTCTTGGCAAAGATACTGGATTGGTTTGCCATTTCTTTCTCTAGCTCATTTTACAGATAAGGAAACTGAGGCAAACAGGGTTAAGTGACTTGCCCAGGGTCACACAGCTAGTAAGTATCTCAGGCTAGATTTGAAATCAGGAAGACGAGTCTTCCTGACTCCAGGCCTGGCACTCTATCAATTGTACCACCTAACTGCCCTTAGGTAGAAGATACCAGTACCCAATTACACAGTGTATTGCTGTAACCTGGACTGTTTATTTCACGGAGGCAGAATGAGGAGTTAACAGTTTGTTGTACCTAAAATGTAGCAGCACCTTCTCTGTTAATCCACTGTTTTTTAGAACTCCTGCCCTGGGGTCAAATAATTCTGACTGGTTGAATGCAAACTCCCCTAAACCACTATATTTAACCTGTCCCTCCCCAAATCCCATGCAGCCGTCCACCCTAGCCATTCTGTTATCTGCACTGCACTCTCTGCTCTATCCACCTCCACCTCCATTTTCAATCTCTTGCTCAGAGAATGATAATCAAGTCAACTCTACTTTTGCTTCTACTGCATTACTAAACTCTTCCTAAATAAAGCTTTCCTTTATAAAGGAAATTGGAATTGGACTTCCAGCTCACTCCATTTTCCATCTGCAGCTCTGCTTAGTTTCAACTCCAAGGAACACGATGCCTCATACTGTGACCTCCTGGTGTCTTGTCCCCCACCTCCTTTCCAACTCCCTTTTGTGCCAATGTCTTCCCCCATTACATTGTAAGTTCCCGGAGGGCAAGGATTACCTTCTTTTTCTTATTTGTACCCCCAGAGCTTACCACAGCACCTGGCACTTGGTAAGAGCTTAATAAATGTTTACTAAATTGAACTGAATTCTCAAAGGGAATGACAATTGACCACAACCTGACTCCATTCACTATCTCCTGGATGCCCCAGACCAAAACACTTTCTAGGCCACTACTCTCTTTACACTAAAATGTATGTCCCTTGAGGGCTGGAACAATTCCACTTTTGTATTTGTATCCCCAACAGTTAACACAATGCCTGGCAACCCAGAAGGCACTTCGTGTTTTTTCATTCACTAATTCATTATAAGAATGTTATGTTATAAACCAAATGTTTAAGAAGTCCTGATCAAAGATATGGCAGGAAACAATAGTTTTTGAAAATGTGAAAAACAAAATTTCAATATACATGCAGTATATACTATAAGGCAATGCTTTTTTTTTAAGTTCAGTTTCTCATTAAAAATAACATTGTATGACTAATACGGAAATATTTTACATGAATGTACATGTATAGCCTATATTTGATTGCTTGCTGTGCCGGAGAAAGGCTGAATTTGGAATTCAAAACTTTTTTTTTAAATGTTAAAAAATTGTTTTAACATGTAATTGGAAGAAAATAAAATATATGTGTTAAAAAAATAGTAACTATAGATACATATGAAAAATGCTATCCAGAATAATATATACATATAGGTCTTAGTTAACTTACTTGTTTTATTCAATATAAGGAAGTCAATTTCTTTTGTGGGCATCTGGACTTCCTTCAGCATATTTTCCAGTTCTGTGTTGTTTTCCTGCACTTTAAGTACTAAGCAAGAGAATAAAAAAAATAGTAATTCATTTCAGTCTGAGTCATTTTTATTATGCAATATATTCAAATAGAAAAATGTGACTCATTGATACATAATCCATATATATCAGATTCTAAGCATTTTCTAGGGTTCATTGTTTAGGGCCTTAAAACTAAAGAAAATAATGCTGTTAGAGATTATAATTATATTCACCATTAATACACATACACACAAACATAGCCAACAGGGAAGGGTGAGAGCTTACAAGATACCTGTAGAATTGTGGCTGCTGTACAGAACATAAATGGGAATGCCAGGGCCTGTTGATATAGCAAAAGACAAGACAAGTTTAGGTGAATGATTTTTTTTTTTTTTGGAGGGAGGGCGGAGCATTGGGTGGATGGGAGAGGAAGGGAAGATTGCATTTGCTGCTTTTCAAAGATGCTATCAAATGCCTTCAACTTTCCCAGAATGTTTTGTAATTTACATTTTCTTTTCTTTTTCATAAAACCTATTCTAATAATGAGGAGGGACAATAACATAGCATAGTAGACAAGTCACTTCAGTCATTTGGATAGTGATTTTCTTATTAAAATGAGGGTAGACAAGATGTAGTCTAAAGGCCTCTCCAGCTCTGACATTCCCTAGGGAACCAACATTCTTTGTTATCCATTTTAGAGTACCCACCAGCTGGAGGATTTGTGCTCCGCCCTGTTTCAGTAACAGTGGTGATGAATTTTCATTTAGCCAGCCTCACCATTTTTCCTAATTCCCCTAAAGACCAATGCTATACATTTATAGGACAGTTGGTGTTGATGAACCTCTGGTAGTGATTTCTTAAAAATTATTTCCTCATAGTATTAAAAAAAAAACAAAACCTGTGAACATTTCATTCAAAGAAAAAGACAGAGAGCTATAGGATCACAGATTTAGACCTGGAAGTTCCTTAAAGACTATTGAGTGCAACTCTCTTGTTTTACAAATGAGGAAACTGAGGACCAGAGAGACTGTTAAATGATTTGCCCAATGCTACACAGCTAATAAGTGCACGAAGCAAGATATGAACCCAGGTCTTCTTGTTTCCAAGCCCAGTGCCCCATCCACTATGCCCTTACAAACACTAGATATACACTAGATAAATGACAGAGAGACAAACAAAACTACATAGGCAGATATAGCTGAACCAGACCCAGGACTTCACTGGTGTACAGAACACCCAATGAGGAAACTTCCTATCCTGAGGTAGACAGGCCCATTCTCTGTAACTTATAGTCTTAGAGAACTGAAGAGTTACTGTCCAGGTACTGAAAGCCTAAATGGCGTGTCCAGGATCCCCCAGGCAGTACGTATGTCAGAGACAGAATCTGAACCCAGCTCTTCCTGATTCTGAGGCTGCACACTTTCATGCAAATACACATACACACATATGTTCTTTTATGTATTTACACATATATTTTGTTTCGTTTATAATAATGATGATGATGATAGCTAACACTGACATAGTGTCTACTATGTGCTAGGTAGGCATTGTGCTGAGGGCTTTACCAATATTATGTCATTTGATCCTTACAACAACCCTGGGAGGTAGGTGCTATTATTGCCCCCATTTTACAGATCAGGAAATTGAGGCAAATATAGGTTAAGTGATCTGCCCAGGGTCACACAGCTATTCACGTATTTATATGTATATATGCATGTATGTCCCTGCTGAACAAAACTAAGCTCCTTAAAGTCAGAGACTATTCCATTTTATTTATTCCATTGGATTTATATCGCCAGCATCTGGCACAGTGCCTAATACATAGAAAGCACTCCATAAACACCACCACACACAACATAAAGAGACAGACAGAGATAGAACGAAAGACAGAAAGAGAAAAAGGGGTTGTGGGAGATGGTGTAGCTTATGTGGAAATATATGGGTGCTTTATAACTTTTAATTTTTACTCTAAACTAAGGAAATAGAGAGCTTGAAAAATAGCCAATCTTAATTCTACTTTGGCAGCTACATCCTCTTGAGCACACTGATTGCTTCAGCTACTGTTTATCTGATTTTTAAATCACTTACTATTATTTAACAAATTGGTAAGAATTATCACCTTTCAAAACAATGAAAAAAGTGATTAGTTTGGAGATCTTTATTTGGTGACCCCTTGGGGTTTTTATTTTTTTTTATTATGGTGTTAAGAAGAAGAAAAATGATTGTATAAGAGATCATAATTGTTTCTGTAACTGCATAAGATTGCTTCTATGATTGTATAAATCACCGTATAAGAAATGTGCAGTCTTTTTTAAAAGTACTTATTTCATTTACCAAGGTAGCAACAAAATTTCTGTTTGCAAATGATGCAGAATCTTTATTCCTTTAAGGAACATGAATTTTATATGAAGCTGGTTAGTTTTCTCAAAAGAATAACTAAATCCAAACCAAACACAGATGAGCTCCACAGCAGCACTTTCCCTGTTTATAGTATCCACATGCTCAGGGTTAATAGCGTCAAGGGAGACTCTAACTTCCCAAAGAGAATTTCAATAGCACTAATGTCCAACATTATAGTTGTATGAACAATTATTTTCCATGAAGGTGAATAAGGGTGGTGGATGGTGAGTAGACCATTAGCACCATCATCAAAAAATATTTCTTAAGTACCCATCTAGGAACCATTGTAGGATACTACTCATTGAAATTAATTAGATTTGAACCTTACAAATAAAGAGCTTTCAAACTATATAATATACTATATAATACACAAACAAAATACACTCGTACCAAAAGAAAAACAAAATTAAATCGAGAAGGCAGACATGATCCTTGCCTGTAAATACATAATGGTATGTGAACAAGTGTTTTTAAATCTTAGGAATTAGAGTTAATAGAACTTTAAAAAAAAAACCTCTAGTCTTTCCTTTCTCATTCTATAGACCAGGAAACTAAGACCTAGAGAGGGGATGCTTGTCCAAGGTCACAAACTTGGCAAGTAGCACAACTGAGATTTTAATTCAAGCTTTCCGACAATAAATTCCACTACAATCTATTAATTTGACTCAGTTATTAATTAAGTGAAAGGAGGCATCTCAGATTGCCCTGCTGCAAAGTAAACACTGGATTACATGATCAAATTCAGTTCAAACTCACCTGAACATCTTAGTTGATAATAATTTGCTTTATGGCTAAAGGATACTGAAAAATACTGACACCTTTCTGGATTAAATTCACAGGTAATGCATGTCACTTGTTTAGATGAATCAAGATTAATTCTGGAAAAGTAAATAGTGAATCGTTAATGCTTGGATTAATGAATAATCAGAGAGAACTAAAGGAGCTCGCTTTCCAGTTAGAAGTTATCAGTGTCCTGAAGTAAGTCAGTCACATTCAACTATTTTCTGAAAACAAACTTTTAAAATCCCAAATCCCTAAACCTGTTTTGTGGAAATATACCAAATTATATTTTTTTAAATGACCCAATCCTGGTATATGATGCCTTGTACATATGAATGTGAAGAGTATATAATACACTGAAACATATTTCCCTCCTCTAAGTAAAGAGATGATAGATTATACATGTGAGAAATGGAACAATGATGTCATCAGACATTGTCAATATGTCAGTGTGTTCTCTTAACTGTACTTCTTTATTTCAAGGGAGGCTTGGTGGGGGAAGGAGAGAGAGAATTCAGTTATTAGGAAGTGACAATGATGCATAAATAAACAAAAATGCCAACATTTTTTAAAGTGCTCAATAAAGGAAGAGTGTCATATCAATGGACACAGCTACAATGTAGTAAATACCAAGTTGAAGAAGAAGAAACAAAAAAAAAATTAAAAAAGCAAAAATACTCCAGTGAAAAAACTTGATGGAACTCTTCTCACCTATAAAGATTTCTTCCTCCTGGCATTCCCTTGTTTTCGTTACTGATGTAGTATCTGAAAATAAAATGGTTACTGTTGTTCAAATGATTCAATGTATGGTAGGCAGAAATGGACACACCAAGTGGCTTTTCCAAACATTCAATGACAAAATATCCTGTTCCCTATGCTACTACATTCAGCTAAAGGTACAGCAACAGTAGAATAGAATAGGCAAGAGGCAAGAGGAGGAATTGCATAGTGGCATAATATCAAGTCTTCTAAACACATGAAAATCAGGCTACCATATGTTAAAAGAAAAAAGTACTGAACACATTCCAAATGGGCTACCACTTATTGGTAGGAAGATTCTGCCTACTTCTACACAAAAACTATATTACCATCACAGGTTTAGAGTTGAAAGGTTTCTTATTGGCCATTGAGCTCAACAGTTGTCAGGCAGCTAGGTAGTGCAGTAGAGAGAGCACTAGACCTGGTACCCTTCTGAACTGAAATCCTTCCTCAGCTACTGCCTACCTGGGAAAGAGGTATTATTTACTTCTCTATACTTCAGACTCCTCATTTGTTAAATGAGAAAATTGGATTTGATTGTCTTCTAGGCTCCTCCAGTCTCTAAAGCTTTGATCCCACATAAAGAAACTGAGATTGTCCACTGTCACAGAGAGGGTAAATGACAGAAGGAGGATCTGAACCCAAGTCCTAGACTGCTAATGCAACTCTTTCTACTCTATTACATCCTTAACCACTATTATTATGCCAATAAGTTCTATATATAAATTATTAATAGAATACTTACAGATATTCATTGGTGAGAGCTCCTATCTGAATTACTTCCCATTGTCCTTCAGTAATAAATGTTTCTTCCTGAAGAGGGGTTTAAAAAGCCACTAATTAGAGGGTGTATACTAATTAAAGTTGAATACTGAATCAATTACATGGACAATTCAAGTAACTATATCCTATGTCCCTCCTTTGAAGAAAAACATATCTGTCTTGTTTGTATGCATTTGTCAAATTGATCATATGATCATGCAACCATCAGTTTCCTTTTTGCCTAAGATCTTATTTTGGCCCCGAGAAACTGCAAGTCAGAAACGTTAGTAAAGAATACTCACTTTTGTGTTAACATTAAAATGGCAAATGTGTTTATAGCCATCCTTATTGCTGATAATCTTGTAGAAGTTATCACCATCTGATGTAAAGTAAGGCTCTGAAGGTCTAAACTAAAAAAAGAAATTTAAGAGAAAAGGTTAAATAATAATAGAGCCTTGGGCTAGTCACTTAATCTCAGTTTCTTTGGCTGGAAAATAACCAGACCGAATTAGGTGATATAAGAGGTCCTTTTGAGCTAAAAAACTATGACCCTTTGATTCTAAGTCCACCCCAGTACCTGTTTAGTAAATACTACAATGTTTATTAATAAATGGTACTCACATAGATGCCAAAGGAAAATTGAGAGACCTATTTTCCTTTCACAAGGCTAATTCTATTACTGCTGACCTGAAGGAGACAAAACACTCTTTTATCATTTTCAATAAGCACTGCCCTATTGTCAGAACTGTGTGTCTTACAAATGCAGCTAAAACACTCCTGCCTATTTAAAACTTTTAATTAAAGAAGGTAGAATCTTCAGGTTGGTGATGTTTGGTGTTTGAGCCTTCTGGCAGAACGAAAAGTGAGAGAGGAGACTGAGCGGACAGTTTTCCTATCATTCTAAGCACTGTTTTCTTAATGAAAAAGCAAAATGTGAATTCTTCGATCTTGCTTTGGATCAGATACAGTGAGGCATAGGGTGCTGTGCATTGCAAATTCGAAATTTTAAAGTATATACATTCTTACGTCTGCCATTTTCACGTTAAGGTCTTTTCGTTTTCTAACTATATTTAATAATAGAAATCACAGTTCTATAGAAGGAAAATTCCCATATTCCTACAACAAAAACTGGGAAGTAGAATAGCACATTAATTAAATTGAAGCAGGCCTCCCATCAAGCTAGGAAAGAAAATGTCATCTTTAAGACTTTGATTTCCATGAAGCATTTGACAGCAGGTAGAAGATGACCCACTTTTTAAATTGATGATTTATTTCATCTTTGATGTTTCATCTTGCAATTCCTCCTGATTTGAGGGAAAGAAGAAAAATGCTTTCCTCTTCTATTGAATGATTCAAAGTGAATTCATTTCTGGAGCAAGCTGGAATGTGCAGTACACTCGGTGTTCTCATTATGGAACTCTGAAACACATTCCCCTCTCTAGACCTGTGTTCACAGCCTTATCTTTTTAATACATTTCCCTGTTTCCCCTGGATGGAGTTGTGCCTAGTAGAAATGTGTGAAAAGTGGCATCTGTCTGGTTAAATACAGAGAGGAAAAAACATATTTTTTTCAAGGAGTCGTGAGGAAGTGTAGCATGTCTCTTGCCATGGAGGAAACCACTTTTCATGTTGGCAAACCTCTCCCCTCTGTCCAATCAGTGCCTGGAGGAATTTTAAATGCTTTAGGTTTCGCAGAGGCCAATTCCCCCAAGAGAGCGAGTCAGGATTTCCCCAAATTAGGAGTGGCATCACCCCTTTGAATATAAAAAAATGTGAATCCATCCAGATAACATTTTTTTTCTTAAAACCGACATAAGTAAATGATTGCAAAAAAAGAAAGAGAAAAACACATGAAGTCATTTGTTTACCATGGAAAACAGTATGGTGGATCTTTCTTTCTACTCCATAGCTGTCACAATGCAGTTCCTTTTCAAGAACTTGTGTAATGCAGTGGCAATGAGACAAATGTGGGAAAAAAATCTATATGCTTTCTTAGAATGTTTCTAAGTGCTTAGTAAAATGTGAAACCAAATAATGATCATTATTTCTTTCAAAGATGCATTCCCATGTGTACCAGCAGGTATTGTAGGGAGTAGGGTAGACATGTTACTACTTTCTGTCGGACAGAATTAGACTTCCTTGGGCAACTGACCTGCAGTGCTGACAGTGGGTGGGTAAATGTTCCGTCACTGAAACATCTAACTTGAAATGAGTTGCCAAGTCCCTATATCTGAGAATTTCTTCTGTTCTGCCTATATGGTTGCTTCTTTGCCACTGATGGGATTATTAGACTGGAAGAAGAGGTTAATGTTTTGAAGTAATATGCCTGCATTTCAGCAAGGCATTTCATATTTATAAGCTGCTAAGAAATGCTAATGGACAAGACAGAGAAATATGGGCTGAAGGAGAGCACAGTTAAGTTGATTTTGAACTGGTTGAAAGACTGGACCCAAAGAATACTGACTAATGGATCAATTTCAAAATGGAGAAAAGTCTCCAGGTGAGTAGACCAGGAATATGTACTTAAGTCTTACGGAACATTCTCATCAGCGACTTAGATGAAAACACTGATGACATATTTATAAAAAGTGAAACTGACACAAAGCTGGGAAGGATAGTGGTCATTTATTTTGAATATTTGGCGTGTGGTCTAAAAAGTTCTCAAAGGGTTAAAACAAAGGGCTCAATCTAAAATGACTTAAATTGCATAGGGATAAATGAAAATTCCTATATTTGTGTGTGGGGGAAAATCAACAACTGTAAAAGTGTATAATATGGAAGGAAAAGATCTGAAGATTTTAGTGAATATCAAGATCAGCAAGTCAACAGTGTTATGTGAAACCACACACCAAAAACAAACAAACAAAACCACCCACGCCAGTTCTATGGCTGTGTTTATTGAAGCAAAGGGTCCAGAATGAGGGAAGTAGATTCTGGCCTATTCTGTACTGATCAGAGAGAAGGGGATGGGGGGGGGGGGCACATATAAGATATGTTATGAAGGTAAAATTGCCAAGTTTTGCCAACAGATTGGAAATGGGGAGAAAGAGTGAAAAGTTGGGGATGACACAGCTTTTTTAAGCATGGGTAACTAGAAGAAGATTCTATAATTTTATTATTTTTGGTTCCACATGTCTTATTTCTAACCTTTTCAATAATCTTTTTTTTCAATTTCCCCCCACATGCTCCCTCTTCCTTTTTTAAACTTAGTATGTTAAATACTACCCCAAAATTCATCTATGTTCACAATACCTTCAGATTCAAAAACAAAATATATACATTAATAACAAACATAAGGGAATCCTAATTTTTTCCTGCAATTCCTTAGATTATATGAAACCTTCTTTTGCTATGAAGACTTCATCAATTTCTCTCTAATCCTCACCCCTGCTCCATAAACCCTTAGGAAAGAGTTGGCTTACTCTTTGTTCACTGATGCTACTTTCTTGGGGAAATCCTGACTCGCTCTCTTGGGGGAATTGGCCTCTGCAAAACCTAAAGCATTTAAATGTTCTTTAAGGTTAAACACAGCCTTTTCTCTAAAGTTCATTCCACCCTCTCCCAATACTTACCATTGATATTTACTGACACTCTCCTGCCAAAAGGATTTTGGCACCTAGCTTATAGTATTATTCTCATCACACTTTCTCATGCCATTATCCTAAGTTTTTCCAAGAGTCATGTTGCTAATCCTTCTAATACCCACTCTTTGAATTCAATGTCTACAACCTTATCCGTACTCCTTTTAGCCATTAACTACAGTGGTCACGTTAGAACATCACTCAAAAGTATTCAACTTCCAAACTACAGATCTGTGAAAATCTGGACCAGAGACTGCTAGAAAGTCTGAAATTCTCTATCTGAACACAGTATTCTGTACTTTTACTTCTCCCATTTCCCTGACTCTTCTCACATGAAGTTTGGTCTCTAGATTTCTATTCTCTCAAACTATCAATCTTGTTCTGGCCTCTCTACCCACTTGCAATCTTTTACTCAAATATGTCAGCAATGCTCTCCCCTCCACTCTTGAATTCCCTTGACTTCTTTACATTCCAAAATTCACACCATATTAATCCTTAACTCTGGTTAACTCCTAACCGCCTCTTCTTTATTTACTAATCTGAATTCTTAATCACCAAGACTCAGATATTTAGACACTTCGCTGTCTTTCACCTATGCCCACTATCAATTGTAAATTCTGCTTCTGTCCCCCAATCATCCCATTACAAGAATCCTTCCTCTGTTCTCTCATCAAGTTATTGTATTATTGTAATTGTTTCCATATTGTTCTTTCTGCCATCAGTATCTAACTTTTCCAATCCATTACATCATTGCCCAAGTAATCTTCCTAATATACTTCTGTCATCACATCGCTCTTTTTTTAAATAACCTTTCATGGTTCCCTCCCATCTCTCAAATAAAATACAAATATACACTTCTCATATATTAAGATCACAACACAGCATTAAAATGCTTTTCAAGACTTATCTCAACTTAACTTTCTTCATATACTTTATGGTCCAGATAAATGGTACTATGCTCCACCTCCTTTCTCATCCTATCCTTTCCTATCCCTGTGCAATACTCATCTGTGAGAGATTGTCTGGTGTTGGCTACTGCGAAGTGAAGATTGTGGCAAGATGGGGTAGGAACAAGATATTAGGAAGTAACCGGAGCTCACGCTCCCGAGGCAGGGGCTGTGCTAGGCGGAGTTGTGGTGAACTGGGATGGGAACTAGATACGGAGAAGTAACCGGAGCTCACACTCCTGAGGCTGGGCAGTGCTATGTGGAGCTGTGATAAGCTGGGGAAGGAACAGGATACAAGGAAGTAGCCAGAGCACGTGCTCCTGAGGCAGGGGACTGTGCCACGTGGGAATGGGACGGCAGAGAACAAGTTCCCTTTGTCTAGTCCCCTCCCTAGGTGCAATGTCAACCCCAGACGTCTCCTTCCTGACTTCCTGGGTCACGTACTTTCCCTTTGTGTAGCACTGACCCCAGACGCCTACTCCCGATATCTGGGCCTGACTTCCTGGGTCACATACTCTCCCTTTGTCTATGCACTAACCCCAAACGTCTCCTTCCTGTATCCGGTCCTAGCCTCCTGTGTCACTTCCTCTCCCTTGGTGTGCTAAACCCAGACATCCCCTTCCGGTATCTGATCCTACAATCAATGACTAGTAGGCGGGCTGGGGAGGAGGGGCTAAGTAGGTACTTAAGGAACAGTAGAGATCAGAGCTCTCTCTCTCTTGCTCCTGCTCTCTTGCTCTGGCCTTCCTGCTTGGCCTTGCTGTAATGGCCTCTGAATAAAGCTCGAGTGTTTGCACCTCCTGATTGGCTCGTCTCTGTGTTTATCCGGGTGGGCACCGAAGACTGGTAAGTGTGACTCTGGCAGCCTGCTCCTTATAGGAGGAGAGTGCACGGCGCGACTGGCACACTCATCCTCTCTCCAAATGTTGAATGGTCTTCCCATTCCCATTTTCATCTGCTGAAGTTCCTTTCTTACTTCAAAAATCCAACTTAAATGCTACTTCATTAAGCTTTCCAAGATTCATTTCCCCATCATGCTAAGAGTTACCTCTTTCTAGTCAAATTTCTCATGATACTTTGCCCAGGTCTCTTCTTGGAACTTATCATACTCTCCCTTATTATTATGGTTACATGGGTATATGTCTTGCCTAATCCTTCCTCTCTCCTATTCTCTCTTCTTAGACTATAAAGTAGTCATCTTTATATCCCCAACACCTAGAAAAAGGTCCTATCCATAGCAAATATTTAACAAAAATTTTTCTGAATTTGAAGAGTTTTGCTTTCAAATGCCTAAAGATGAAATCATTTTAAATATCTAATTCACACGTTTAAGAGCTCCATAAATTTTAAATACTTACTCTTCCAACCCAACCGGTAGAACTCATTTCAATCTTCTGTCTATCCTGGGAAGGAAAACAGAAAATGATATTATTTTTAAGACTGCTAAGAAAATACACAATATGACTAATATGGAAACATGTTTTGAATGACTGCACATGTATAACCTATATCATATTGCTTACTGTCTCAGGAAGGGGGGAAAAAGGAGGAAGAGAATTTGGAACTCAAAATTCTTAAAAATGAATATTAAAACTTGTTTTTACATATAATTGAGAAAAAATACTATTCATAAAAAAAGACTTCAGAAAAAAGAAACAATAAATGTTATTCTATGGTTAACATACAGGTTCAAATTATTTCTCTGAGATGAACAACAGTATGAGTACAAGAAAAAAATTGACAACTACCTCCATTGATGCACTGTTTACGCCAAGAGTTTCTCAATGTTATCTACATATAGACCAGGGGTAGGCAAGCTACTGAAAAGGCCAAATCCAAATGGAGTGTCTATTGAGCTAAAAATGGTATTTTACATTTTTAAATACAATGAAACTTTATTTAAAAATGTAAAAACCAATCTTAGTTCTTTGGTGTACAAAAATAGATGGGGAAGGAGTGGGGCATAATTTCTTTATTCCTGATCTTGACCAAGGATATCTAAACTTTTTGTAGTGAGGAGTTACTTTGCTACTTACTGGAAGACTCTCCACTCTCCATCTCCCAGGGGTAGTTGTATAAAAGGGAAGACTAACAATAAGTCCAAAAGTGATAATGGAGGTGTTTCCAATAAATTCTTATCAATGGGAAATATGGAGAAGAATGTGAGAGCAACCTCTAACCATCTTCACATCCCCACAGCTCAGTGAAATTTCAAGCACAACAGAATATAATCATATTTCCTCACAATCCCTTCCCATCGCTATTGACCATGGGCCATCTTGAGGGAGAACATAGCTAAACAATCAATCTGGCCTTGAATATCTTTGAAGATCACAGGACTAAACTAAATGATTAGGGACCACTGATATTTATGTAGGATTACAACTAACCTATTCTAGATAATTCTATCCAGTGCAGGCTAATAGTTACCAGTTTTATTCAACTCCTAATGACCTTTCTTACTGAAAAATACTTTAAAAATATTTAAAGCTGATCATTAATCTAAGACTGCTAGAGACTTAGCTAATATTCATTTCATGTATTTTTCTATTCAAAACACTATCCTCTCTTTGCAGCTACTGCCTTTGTTTTTGATCTTTATCTCTGAAGTGTATAAGATTCTGTCTTTATGAGATGTTAATCACCTCTCCCAACTGTGGTCTTCATAAATTCAAGTAATAAAACTAATAAATAGCAAAAGTTAAAAACTACTAAGTTTCAGGTGATACAAAAACAAAAGTAATCAATCCACTGTCCTATCACACAGTTTGTTGTTTTTTTTTTTAAAAAGTGCACCTTCAAAATGGTTTGCTGATTTATGGTTCCTAATATACTCTCTGCACTTAATGTGTCATTCAAGTTTCACTTTCAAGAAGTATCTCCATTCTATCTTACCACTGCACAGTTCCATCTTCCATTGTCTTTATCAAAGTCACAAATATCCATGACTGAATAATTCTGAATCCTTCTGAGCCACTGAAGAGAAATCCTTTCAGCATTCACCCATGTCACATCACACAAGTAATGATCACTAGAAACAATGAAGGATAAAGTTTAGATCCTAATAAATTTCTAGGCCATCAGACACTTTACTTTGTACTGATATGAGAGTAATGAACCATACTGTGAAGTAAGATTTTATTTGCTTGTCAAAATCACTTAGTCCCATAATATGCACCTTTTCCTGAAGCTTAAAATGTACTTAATTTTGAATGAGGAGAGAAAGCTCTGGAAACCAAACTATCATCTTAGGGAAAAAGGCAATAACTAACAATACTAAAATGATGGGGTACTCTTAACTACAACTTAGACTTTCTCTGGTAATAGGCTGTGGAGTAAAGGGTGTAAAGGGTAACATTTTCTGTCCTTAAGGTAGATTTGTTGATTAGATACATAGGCCAAAGTGTTTTATAGACAATTCAAAATGTTTTTGTGTGCATATTCTCCAGATCAGGAATACTTGCAGATAACATTTTCTCAACTTAGTTTCCAAAATGAAAAAATAAAATAAAAAATCTGTAAATGCCGAGAAACAAGGACATAAAAATGTTCTTCACCAAGTCAAAATCTGAACTGTATAAAGACACCAAACTTAAACAAATTGGTACAAAAATGTAGAAATCTCTAGTCACCCTCTCCCAACACACACACACTTAAATTAGTCCACAGCAAAATGAATTTTTTTTTTAAATAACCTAAAGCAAAATGTATCAAATCAGTAGAGTTTATTTCTTAGGAAGAGACTAGACTCAGGATTTCATTTGTATAAAGAGGATAGTCGTGGATGGTTACCTAAAGCACTGAGAGGTTAAGTAACATGTGCAGCCTGGATCTTTCAGAAACAACCCTTTAAACATAGCCAGAAGTCAGTCTTCCTGGCTTTGAAGCTGGCTCTCTACTGACTAGCACAGTGGTGTCAAACTCAAGTAGAAAGAAGGGCTACTAAACCACGTGTAAGAATCCCGGCACATTGATTTAGTTTTATAATTTAACATTATCTATATTTTATTGTATTTTTATTTATTTTGTTGAACATTTGCCAATTACATTTTAATTTGGTTCAGGTCACACTCAGGAGTGTTGTGGGCCACATTTCTGACACCTCTGCACTAGGGCACATTGCCTCATTTATATAATTTATCACTTGTATGACCCAAATTGGACATAATTGCCAGATTATGGTAATTACGGTAGCATATCATTCTTCTGTTAGAAATCTTTAATAGCAACCTACTGAGGAAAACATAAGGTACAAACTCTTCTGGCTTTAGTTTATGCCATCTACAATCTGGTCCAACTCTACCCTCTCCAATTACATCTCCCATTATTTCACAGGAAAAATCTGGTTCCAACCAAGAAAATCTCCTATTGAACTGGTAACAAACTAATCTCACTCTTGCCTCTGTACACATAATTAAGTTATCTACTTCTCACTCAGAAAAATACTGAGGCTTAGTGGATAGAGATACTCAGAGTCAAGAAGATCTGAATTCAAAAAATTATCCTCAAATGGAATGCCCTTAAGCCTATCTATCCATCTGTCTAAATCTTACTCTCCTCATCCTTTCCCACTTCAGTCATGCCATCACCTAGCAAAACCTTATTGTGGTCCAAGCTAAACGTCACCACCTACACAATGCTCTTCCTGATCACCTTAGTTGGAATTTATTCTTCTCTCTTTTACATTCTTAAAAATTCAATATCCACAAATTTTATCAAATGATTACTACAGTGTGTGTAATGTATTCTACCAGTTAATGAGCTGGATACAAAGATAAGTAAGTCGTGGTCCCTAGTTTCAGGGAATTCTTTGAAAATAAGAAAGGTGAACAAACAGAATAGAAACTAGCTTATAGTAAATGCATGGGAGAGGTACAAAATATGTAATGAGAGCTTTGAGGTAGGACGTAACACTTCAAGCTAACTGCTATGGAGAAAACTGCATGGAACAGTGGAATGAGCATTGGATCTGGAGTCAGAGTTCCTGGGTTCAAATCTCACCTCTTATTGCTTACTACCTGTGTTACCTTAAGGTAAGTCATTTAACTGAGGTCCCTTCTAATACCAGGCCTACAAGCTGATACCTAAACTAGACAGGAGAGAGATGACATTTATTTAATGCTTTCTGACTTACAAAGCAAGTCACATTTATTATTTTGTTTGAGATGGGCTTATCTTGTACTGCCAATAAAACACTTAACCATATTGCTTTGTATTGTAGACATTTGTGCCCAGATGAGATTTCTTATCTGCTAAATCTAATTAGCTTTTCTTAGTCTTCACTCTATTTGACCCTTGCATAGCTATAGACACACTATAGACACCCAAGCATGTCTGTCCTCCCATTCACCCAACCCTGTTTCAGACCCTCTTTTCTTGTTTCCCAATATTATTTTTCTTTGATGACATCGTTAGCTCCAATGGGTTTCAATTATCATCACTATAAAGATGACTCTCAAATCTATATATCCAACAATAATTTCTCTCCTGAACTCCAGTCTCACATTTTATAATATGTGACAGGTTAGCTGGATATGCCATAGGCATATCTCAAGCCCAACAGGTCCAAAATGGAACTCATCTGTCACCCTAAATTTTGTCTTCTTCTAAAATTTCCCTATTTCTATTAAGGATACCACCATCCTTCTGGTCATCCGTGTTCACAAATCTGAAGTCATCCTTGACTCTTCTCTCTCCCTCATCTTATACATTCAATAAATTGAAAAGTTTTCTTAATTCAAGCTCTACAACATCTTTCCTGTCCACTTCCTCTTTAACAGCCACCATCATCTTGGTTTAAGCCAGGCCTGCACAACTTGAGGCCTGCAGGCTGAGCCAAAGGACTTTGTGCTGCCGGCAAAAGATGTAGAGGAAAACACCCTTTGTATGTAGAGGAAATTCTTTGGCTTGCTATAAGCAGCACAGGTCACAATTGTGCAGACCTGGTTTAGACCCTCATTACAGCTCAACCTAGATTATTTCAATAGACTACTAACTGACATTTTTGCTTCCATTATCTCCCTTGTCTAAAATACCTTCCACGGAGCTGCTAAAACTATCTTCCTAATGCATAATTCTGATAAAATACAATTAAAAAATCATCAGTAGTTCCCTATTGCCTCTAGAATAAAATAAAAACTCCTCAGCCTAGTACTTGAATCCCTCCACAATCTGGCCTCAACTTACCTTTTTAGATATTCTAAATTACTACTCTTTCATATACTCTCCCTTTCAGGCAAACTGGCCTACTTTTTGCTCCCTACTGCCATCTCTATGCTTTTGCACCATCTGTCCCTCAAGCCTAGAATATAGTCTCCCCTCACTTCTACTTTTTAGAAGCTGGAGCTTCACATGGCTCAGTTCAAGCTCTTATGTGGCCTTCTCCTGATCCCCACCCCCTAAGCTGTTAGTTGCCTCTCTCTCCCTCCTCAAACTGCCTAGGAATGACTTAACTATATACATGTGTGTCCTCCTAGTAAACTGTAATCTCCTTGAGGGCATGGATTCTTTGATTACTGTCTTTCTATCCCCAATGTATAAACAAACAGCTGCACATAATAGGGGTCTATTAGATATCTTTTGAATCAAATCTGTACTGATGAATTTATAATCATCTAGAGAGAAAGTACTATGTCTTAGACATTTTGTCCTGCACAAAGCCTTTTACACATGTGCCTCATAATTTTTTTTTTAAATGAAAAACCAACAACCTAAAATCAACTGTTATAAAACTAAACTTGAGGTAAATAATCTTCTGCAGCATGGCTATGCTCTGTGTGGACAAAGTTACCCCACATCCATCCATCCATCCATCCATCCATCCATCCATCCATTCATTTCCTAAAGCACAAGGAGAGACAGGAAAAAAAATGGTGGTGAGGAGGCTCTCTGTGTCATCTTCTCCACTAAGTCCTCTTCCAATGCCTCAGTATGGGTTTTCAAGAATTCTATCAGTGGAGTTCAAACTCAGGCAAGTCCTCGAAAATTCAGACTTAGCAACAGATTCTACATCTTTTGTCCAAGAATCAGTCTTATCTACATCTGCAGAGGCTCATCACTACAAAGCTGACCACAAGGTAATGAATTTTTATGGATCAAGGAGTTGCAATACGCCAGAAATCTTTGGAATTAAGTATTAAAGAAGAGTGCCATAAGATACCTTTACTTAATCAAAGACTCATATCTTTTGATCAAAAATTGATAGTAAAAAATTAAGATCTCCTTCTAAAACACAAATAAATGAGTTGTAAAGTCAAATAGTTCAATCAAGTGCTCCAGGGGTCTTTCCAATCTATTTGTATTCTGAATAAAGTTCAAGGAACTTCTGGCCTTCTACTTTCTCTGTAGTTCTCCAGAGTACCAGAATGAGCTCAGCACACATGGACTTAATGATATAACAATAAATGTTAGATCTGCATATTTCAAGTTCAATGTAAGGGGAATCAGAATGAGTGTATGCAATTTATCCATCTGCCAAGATAAGAAGAACCTAAGCTATGGTAATGTAGCAGAGGTAGTAATAAAGATGCAAAAGGGTCCAATTGTGTGCATTGCTGAAATACTTCAATTCAATGTTGGGAGCAAATATATCCAACAAATAGTGCTATAAGCAGGCTAAAAAAAGATTAGAAAAAGAGAAGAATGAAACTCAGAAGAAGGACTGAAATAAATGAAAGCATCATATCTAGGGAAAAACTTGACCTGTCTTGTATACACATGAGCCTAGGATAGCTTTAAAATACTAAAGACTGTGGCTGAAACATGTCCCTTGGACTCTGAACTCTAATCAAGCAAATGACTACATAGTACACTTTTCCAAGAGGTCAATAAATTCAATTCAACTCAATAAACATTTACTAAGCACCTGCCATTTGCAAGACACCATGCTAGATGAGAAATACAAAGATACTAAATGCTAAAGTCGATGCCTTTAACATGCTTATGTTCTATTGGGGAGAGAAGTATACAGTATATTCACAGATGAGGATATAATACAAGCCAGAGAATGAGACACAATGTTCTAGGAAATTT